TGGCTAGTTTCAAGATGAACTTGCTCCAGAGGCCTAGAAAACAAAGTCATACAGCACAGTCTTAGACAAATGCCAAAAGACAAGGAGAAACTGCGTCAAAGGGGTCACTGGGAACCATAAAGAAAGAAGTGCGAAAAGTTGTTTTTTTTTCTTGTGCCTTGATACGAGAACAGAAGGTCCTAAATGTTTCCTCATCTCTGCTATTAATACCTATTTAAAATACAACTGCACTTATGGCATCTCACTTTTAGAACTAATGGTCACGTCTAAGAAACAATAGCATCTCAAGGAGACTGAAACAAAACAGTAAAGACTTTTTTAAAAAAGAAGGAAAAAAAAAAGAAAAATTAATCTAATTTTCAAACACCCAATTTGGGGACTACAGGCGCTACTAGTACAGAACAGACTTATGAATGATGCTATTCCAGATGAAACTCAGGCCTTTATCAATGCTTTGGGAAAAGGTATCAGATATTTCACAGAGCTAACTGCTGTGTCCCGTCCTTGTCAGGAAGTGAGATCCTAGTATTTCAGAACCTATTCAACTGGAGCTGAACACCCCAAAACAAAAGACCACTTGAGAAAACAAGGCCCAGTCAGTTCCAAACAAGACTACCACATGAGCAGCAGAACTGGGAGTAATTCAGCAGGTGACACTCAGGCTGAGCCCCAAGTGCTCAGCATCTTCTCCAGCAGTCCTAGGAGGACTTTCAGCCCGTGCCAGGCTCAAGTGCCTAGAGTCAAGTTCCTTTAAAAGAACAAGACCACCCTTGACTTGCAAGTACATGGTTTGCCCTTTTACAAGGGGGGGATGAATAAAGGTTTTAACATCCAAGCTTTAGGCAGTCGAGTACAAAAGTCTGAGTAGCGGCTTGTGCTAGCACTGACAACAGCATAAGTGGAAAACCACTTAAGGTAAACCAGCTGTTTGAATTAAAGGTTAACATAATACATTTTTGGACTGAGATTTTTTTGTGCGTGTGACTAGACAGTTTGCAAACCCAATTCTCAATCATTTGAATGGCAGCTTTACATTTACAGTGTTCAGACCACTCTGAAAATCCCAACATTAGTGTCTGTTTGAACAGCTAGAATTACTCCCAGAAGAAAACAGTAAATGAGCATAGAATTAGTTTTTTAGATGTATAAACACAGCAGCATTTAGGCATAAGCAAATCTAGAAACTGGTATGCTATAATGAAATAGCAAAACACGCAAAGCTACACATCTATCCATTCTACAGCAGGAACCCATTCCAGCTAGGTCAAAAAGTGCTCATGCAACATGGCTTCACACACATCATTTCAAAAAAATTCTACTGTTAGCATACACTTATTTAGGTTCCATTAGGTTAAAAAATTGTCCGCATGGTAAGGAACTGCGTCAGGCCCCAAATACTCTGAGAAAGTAATGATGGAAAAGTATTTTATTTCACAAAGTCATATTGCACGATGACAAGTCATACCTTGCCCAGCCTGGGTCTCCATCATACGCTCTCAGTTCTCCACCTTCCAAACTCATCCTCCTATCTGTTATCTGTACCATGTACAGCTGTTCCTTATTCCAGGCTACTCAGACATGCAATGCCTTCCTAACAGGCACACCATAAGTAAAACAGGCTGCAGAAGCATAAATGATGCATTGTTCACTGTCTGTGTATCTGACAGTGTGAGATGGAAAGAGCACACAAGAGACAAGCAACATAAGTAGTTGGCAATAAAAACAAACAACTGGGAGAAATGTCATTTGAGCAGGTTGAAAGGAATCACTGTATCCAATTCCTTGGCACTGTATAAAATAATTTGGTGAGAGCTTTAAATGCCTGGTCCTACTTTGCAACAACGGATGCGCTCAGTAGTGTTCTTCAGGCTTTTACGGTGAACGTAAGATGAACAAAAATTGTTCAGTTCAGGACTGAAAAGAGGATTAAATTCAGAATAGCCCAATGAATTCCAGAGTCATCTTATTTTGAGACTACTCAGTGGCTGGGGCTGTCTGTGTATACCACATAGCATCCATACTAATCCTAATGAAATGATACTGCATTTGTTTCATATGACACAGTTCCTTTCATCTTACTTTTACAGGAGATGGTCTCAGCTGTGACAAAAACTCTGCCATCCAGGTGATAGGCAAGCTCACAAACAGAAAAAGCAGAACATCTTGAGTGATACAGAGAACAAAAACTTCTCCTGAAGAAGTGCAGTCAGTAAAGACAAAGAGGGAGAAGAAGTAAAAGTGAAACTCTTGGAGGATCGCCACCTCCTCATCTGCACCTACCATTGGTTTTAGCTCTCTGCCCTCAGCTCCACCTCCCCGGCCCGCTTCTTTCATAGATTTCCTACTATTCTCCACAAACTCCTGAAAAACAGTAATAAAGTGAAAAGTGCTTTCTTAGAGCAGACTCCAAACATCAAATCTCAATAAAAAACTTCAAGCTGTAACCACTCAAAATGTCAACGCAACTTGCTCCTCCCACTTCTCTTGGTCAGACTTGTCCACAAAGTACCAAAAGAGCCTGCCAAATAGCCACAAGGGTCTCCCTCATTTAATTTGCAAAGACAGACAGGTATTTGCCTTGCATGCTGTTACAACTTTCACATTTACCATGCAATGCTCTCCTTTACTGGGAAGGAAGGTAGGAGGGTGGTTGTTAAAAAGACAGAGGTCCTAGTTACTACCTCCTATCCTGTGAACTGTGTGTGATGTTAGAACTCCACTAAGCAGACGCACTTGGAGATAATTATTTGCAAGGTCTTGTCGATTCCCCTAACTTCCCTCAATTCAAACTCTTAAATTTTTCACCGGATCACAATCACCTACTCACAAAGATTAGCAAAGGTGCTAATTCCATTTTATGTAATTTTTTTCTCTTAAAGACAAGCATTCTGTAGCAAATTTCAGTAAACTTCAGCTGCTAGTGTCTTCTGATATTGACTGTTCACTAAAGAAACCCACAATGATTCATCTGCACTGTCTTCTGAGACAGCATGCTGCATTTTACTCTTATTCTGTGCTAAAAAGCAACTCATCAGCTATCGTTTTATTTATTATATACTCTAGATTCTGTAGTGTTTTACCAAAAATTTAGCATTAAATTCTTGACATGTTTTTCCAACAAGTAATCAGAAAAAAAAATTACGCTAAGAAGTCATGAGACTCTTCCTCTAGCCCACACATGTGGGTACATTTTACAGGGACATATTCTATGGTTGCCACTTAAAAACATTATCAAGAAAATGACCTACTCAACAACAAACTGAATGGCTTGAAGCACAGAATTTTTACATCTTAGTCTCTAGCTAGAGTGAACAGGGAATAAGATGGGACAAACAAATAAGAACTGAATTGTGCAAAGGGCCTTGACATAGCATCTAGGCTCCAGAACAGAACATAATATCTGTTGTTTCTGTGCATGACAGACTGAGAAGCAAATTCTGGTTCCTGTCTATCTGAAAGAAGAAAAACTCCAGCGTGGTCACTATCTGCATGTGGGGTAGAATATTCTGATATTTTTTCTCTTCCATGTCCCAAGAGAGGTCCTTCTTAGGAAAGTACAAAAACCAAGCCTTTACCCCTTGTTTTGCTTCTTTCCATTCTGCAGTGTATCATTTACAAGATATGATACCCAAAGGTATGATTCTGCAAGACAACTGCTTATCTCACAGCTAGCATATAGAAGCCAATACCAGTGACGTCAAGGGAGGGAAGCATCATTATGTATCTGATGCTCATCAGACCACCCTGTCTGCTGACCAAGCCATGAACAACACAGCAAGGTAACCCAGGTAAAAAAAATTACAGTATTGAACTCAGCTAGTGAGCTCACTCCACTCTCAAAATAGCCATCTTATGAAACCATGTCCTTAGCCTTAGACAGCAAGGGGAAACTTACCATGAGAACTTTATCCATGTAGAATTCCCTCCCAGGGCTCCCATCATTGTATTTTGTATCGATGGCAAAACATAAGAAAAGGACATCAACAACCATTTCATAAATGGAAAGGAAGCAGTGAGCAACCAGGAATGCAAAGAGGCAGACAATGACGAGTGGCAGCACCCAGACGGTGTAATCTCGTTGGTAATTCAGCAACATAATCCCAGCCAAACCTGTACTGCAGACAATCAGGACCTGAGGAAGAAAACAGAATACAATTCTAATGACAGAAGCCTTTTGATTTTTTCTTTTTGTTTTGGTTTGGTTTTTAACCTATGTGCTTCTTGCTCTGCCAGGTCTAGAACTAGGGGTTACAGATGCTAGTGGTAATAACATCTTTATCTCCTGGATTCCCCACATCCCTGAGTGTAAATTACATGGGTGAAAGGGAGAGGGGAAGGCAGGTCTTGGGGGGATGGTGTGTTTTTAATTTTGCTGACAGAAACAACTTCCAAGCTTGTCTTATCTCTGTCTCATCTCCATACAGGGAAAGTAGATCAGAATCCATGTGAGGCACTTCATGTAACAGTCTCCACAGAATTACACTATGTGTGAGGCCCTAACAGAAATTTCACTGGTCACCAGTTTGGTCTTTGGGAACAACGAAATGACTAAAACAATTGTTGTGGCCACTCAACATTTTTAACATTTCTGAATCTATTATTATGAACTGCAGCTAAACACGAAATTTTAAAATAGGTCAGCTTTACTGTATTATAAAAATACCAGGTTGCAGTGATAGAGGACACAGGCTGGCAGCCTAGCACTGTTTTAGCTGATACTATTTTTTACATGCTGCACTGTTCATTTTAACATTTCTGTCACCTGTGCATTTCTCTAATAATTTGAAAGACACCTTTTCAGGGAGATGTTTTCTAACACCTTTCAGACACCTCCATAAAACCACATTATGTAATTTCATGGTCTCCCAAGCACCTATATCTTGATTATGTCTTTATTTCTTCTCACATCTTATTGAGTTAATTACTGGATTAAAAGTTCAGCCCACTGTACTCTGAGTTAATAAAAGCAGAGGAATGTAATAAGGAAGACAGTTCAGTCCAAGCTGGCAGTTCCTCATAGCAAGCTCCTATACTACCTTCCAGTCCAATTTTGTCATAAATGGTGATCAATAATGTGCCAATTTTCAACATAAACCCGGAGAGCCCTTACTAAACAAAATTTAGAGGAAATGCTTCCTTTCCTTACAATTCTAGGTTTTAACCACAAAACCAATCAAAAATTCAGACCTTCTAATAATCACTTTTCTCTTGACTCCCTAAAAATAAATTCATGCAAAAGGCGTCATCATCTTCAACGATTCCTTTCTGATCACTTTTACTTAACATAAGTGGGTCATCTGTTCATCCTCCCTATCCTGGACAGTGCCTTCCTGATATGATGTAGCTAAATGTGACTAAGTGCATGCTAAGAAACAGGAATTTGAAGGCATTTTCCATCTAAGATACAAGCCATTGCTAATGAAAGCTTGCTACTACGAAGCTTGGTAACAACTGTATACAGCAGACATACCTTTCCTAGAAACAGCATAAAATCCCCAACTGTGTTTATGGCAGCCACTTGCAAAGCGTTTTCCACTAGAATAATAAAGGCATCCTTTGCTGAGGTGCAGAAGTTGGTGCTGTTGATAGCTGTGGCTGTATATGCGTTCTGGGAAAAGCAGATTGAAGATTTACTCATGGAATGATCAGATATTTCAGATGGAGGCGGGGAAGAAGGGGGAGAAGATACGGCTTCTGAATAAGTCACATAAGTCATATGATGTTAATGAACAAAGATTCCCTTGAGAGTTGTTGAATCAAGAAGTATGTACCAGCTGACAGAAGACTATACAAGGTAGAGAATTACTATTCTTCTCCTCCCTTGCTCATCATTTATGCACTAACAAGTTTATTCCAAAAAACTAATTGAACAGAATTTGCAATTTCTCTGCAGGAGGAGGTAAGCAGTGGCATAACTACAGCAATTAAGTAGTTAGGGAAATATTCTGGAAATATAAAAGAGTTTGAGAGTCATACAAGTCCACCAAGATAATTTCTAGACACTTCACTAGACTGCATTCAAAGTTAACCAGGACAATTGTCTAGGATTATATTGGGGTTTTTTTTAAATGCCTTCTTCTGCTTTTATTTCTGTAGTTCCATAAGCAAAAAAAATTAACAACAGTTAAAGGGATATTGGAGAGATATTTAGAGATGTACTTAACAGAGGTGGAACCACAGGCCAATAAAGTCTCTTTTACAAAGGCATCTGACCAGCCAGCATGGCACAACTTGCAGCTCTTTTTCCACTTTGTAGATGACAGCAATTTGATGTTATATACAGTTTTTCAGTTGTGTGAACCTTAAATATTACACCTAGAAAAGCTTCAGTCTCTTCTCACAACAAACATATTTTGAAACTCAGTTGTAGTTTGACAGAGTGGACATAAGGAGGAACATCTCCAACCACTAAACAAATTGTTATAAAGTTGAGACACCATGTTCACAAAGATGAATAGCAGCTATTTTTCACCTTTACGAGGTAAACAAAAACTAATGTAGTGATTTGCAGTGTAATTTCAGTAATAGAGACAAGACTGAAGTACCTTCATTGAAGTTCCAAAGTACAATAACTTATGTGTGAGCCTCAGACTGCATTCTGGGAATCACATATATTATCAGCCCTTACATAAAACTTGAATATTGAAAATCTTACCTGATTTAAGTAGGTCAGGCACTTTTCTAGACACCAAAGGCAGCAGATGCAGGCTTTGAGCATACAACGAGCACAAGCATTTTCCTAGGAAAACACAGAATGTGGAAAAACAAAAAGCAAAACCAACAGATCTTAAGAAAAAAATATTCCTTTGTGTTTCAGTAACTGACACTCAGCTTGGTAAATTAACCAGTCCCTCTCAGTCTCATGGTCCTTTAAAGACCAAATATTCCAAAACAGGACTTCCAGCCCCACCCCACCCCCCAATTAAATTAGCTGTAAACACATCAGCCATTGAGTTTCAGTAAAAAAATGGAATGTATTTCTCTTACTTTTCCTTTGAGTTGTGTATGAATATACATAAGAATCATTCGTGGTATCTTCACTAGTGTGATAATGAAAGATCCCTTTGCCACCGTTCCCAGGTGGTAACAAACAAGGCGATTAACAGATGCCAGAATAGGAGTAAATGGCAGATTCCTTTTCTCCCTGTTGAAAAGAGAAAAAGCGTAAAGTAGAACGATCAATATGTATTTAGTATCATCTAGAAGTACTACAGATTCTCAATAAACTGAGGTGCAAAAGGAATGTATTATCCTTATACTAGTTTTCAGTGTATATTGTTCACATCACGCTGACAGTCTGTGCGAGTCACAGTTTTGCCTCTGAGGCAGTAATAGGAATAGGATAATGAATCAGTATGTCTTAAGGGTAGTCTTACTAGCGGTTGGCTGCATTGCCGCTGTCGCCAACTAGCAGTTTCTATAAAACTACATTTGATGGTGTGCAATTCAAAACCTTCCAAAACAGTGAGAAAAAAAGCTAACATTTTTCCAGTTGGACTACTGATAAACTTGCCTTTCCCATCTCTCCTGTTCTGTTGGAGGTCTCTGTGGAGACTTTGGAGAGGATATTACTACTGTTATTTTTTAGGTAAATTATTTTCTCAGATGTTTTGCATTTCTGATGTAGCTATTATATCCTCAAGGAACCAAGTACTAAGCCTTAAAACAAGCTATTTTATTGCAACATGGCTAGAATATTTTTAATCTATCAGATGAACACTCACTTTCGCAGTTTTGAAGCAATTGCCTCTTAAAGTTTTTATTTATATTTCCTACCAAGGAAGCCACTTCTATTTCTCTTTCAAAGAACAGCTTTATTCAACATTTAAAGAACAGCTCTTCTTCTTTATTAGAAATATGAACATAATATTATGCATATTAAAGGAACAAGTGCCAACATTCCAAACATAAAATATCTCCTCTGCTTGGGAGAAAGTTATTTCCATGTGAGTTTCATTCAAAAAGATAAAAAAGTAGTCTTCATTCCATGAAACTAACATCTTCGTAACTTAATGCTGAGATGTTAATGATTAAAATAGGTTTACCCTCTATTTTGTTCCAATTAACATTTAGAGCTCAGGTGGGGGAAGCCAAATTCTATTCCCTTTTGGGCACAGTCACATAAAAGGTCTGAGCCTTACACCCAGGCAACCCAACCACTTCCTCCTTTTGAGGGGGAAATGTAACTGAGGACAGAGTCTGTAATGCAGAACACCTTAAGGTCTGTTATTGCCTGACCTGAAAGGAATCCATCCGGCTAAGGCGAACGAACAGTGAACATATATAAAACATTTCTCCAGAGATAACTTCACCTCATTTGCTGCGGAAAGCTGCTAATATGCAAAATAATGAGGAAGTCCAAATTAATGCCCTTTCCTTTCTTATTAAGTTACTTTTCAGATTAGAATTGTACCTTAAAATGCAGAAAAGGATAACAGTAGGGAGAGATGGGTACTTACTAACTTAAAATAAAATTCCTGTTATGGAATGATAGGGTACAGTTAAAAGAAAAATCATAATCATTCACCCTCAGATAATAGTAAATACATAAACTTACAGATGAAGCATACACATTGCTAAGTGACCTATCTCAATGCAAAATTATCCTCTCTCCTCTGTATTTTCTTAGTTCGTTACTCAATGTAGTTTGATTATTTACAAGATTGCATTCTTGCAACATCTTATAATAACTTCACAGATGTATTTCATTGGTATGCTGGAGGACTTCATCATTAATAAAATAACAGAATTCCTGTCAGCAGAGTAAATTAATTCCTTACCTTTGATATTGTTTTACAGACTACGGCAGATAAGGAGTCAAATGTATTTCCGATAACAGTCTCAATTAAAAAGACAAACCAATTAAACATTTGTGATCTGAATCATGCACTTGAAAAATTTCTGCATGCATTATTTAAAAACCCATTTTTTTAAAAAACAGACTCTCAAAAGCACATGGCAAGAACAGAGTGTGGCTGCTGTTTATCACTAGAAATATTTATATACAATATTCTTCACGTGAAAGGCTAAAACCATATCAAAACCCACTACATGTGTGTTTAGGATACTTCTTGGGGATGGCATCACTCCAACATCTTGGTTTTCCTTTCTTAAGTAAACCACCATTGCTAAGTATCTTGTCAACATCCTCTACTCCTGCTGCTCTTTATCCAGAGGAGTTGTATTTATATTGTTTGGAAAATACTTTTTTTTGAGAACATCTGAAATAAAATTACTCATCTAGCTCTTGAACAATGATGTGGCGTTTGGGGGGTGGGGGTTTGAAGAAATGTATCATGACCTACTAGATCTAGGATGACATGTGGAGAAGCTTCATTAAACTATACTTTTATAAAACAGGTATTAGTCTAGTTGCTTCTTTTCCTTACCAAAAATATTGTCATAGTTCTGGTCTACATAGCAAAATGTAATACTTCAGATCACTGAAGTACCATTTACTCTCAGAAAATACTAACAAAGCACCTGATACCATTTTTTTTCTGAAAAACTTGTGTGCCAAATGGCTAAAACTAGAACTTTAATTTTCACTTATTTAAGGTAAATTTTAAGCAATCGTAATTTCAGAAAAGTTTTCAAATACTGGAGACTAAAACCCCAAAGCTAAGTTTGTGATTCTGCAATCAGTTTCTTATCTCTGTGAAGCAAAATTCTTGTGCCTGAAGGTTGCTAAAACCATTGCTTAATAATTAGTATTGCCTGCCTGAATAGCTAGCAGATACATGCAGAATAGCCAGCATAAAGTATGCCCTGATACACAACTTAGTACACAAATACAGCAATGAAATATGGAGCTTTAATGCACACATTTTTTATCACTTTTTATTTGAACATGATCTGGTCAGAATCTAGATGTAAATGATGACTTAATAACACCTTAAGTAATCTTGTGCAAGAACGATTAATGAAGTACTGTAGGTAATTTAAAGGGCACTGTTTTGCAATCAAAATAATAATAAATTGTTTTCAGTATTTTTTTATCTCTACCAAGCTTATCAGCATTAATTATTAGCATTACAGATGATCTTCCAGGTGCATTCTGCTTCGTAAACAATCGTCCATGTCCATACAATGTGCACAGGTTACAAAGCAAACAAGACTTAAGTCCTAAATATCAAGAATACCATCTATAATCAGCAAAACAGATTATTTTAGGACTTGACATGATTTAAAAAGACTCAATACAATTCAACTGCTCTCCAGCTTTCAGGATGGAAGCAAGTATTCTCCCCAAAAGCTGTGTCCCTCATTATTTCTGCTAATTCCATTTCTAGGCGCCTCACTTTAGAGCTAAGTTGTCCTTACCTTGTAAAATAGTAGGTCACAACAGCCCCTGCTACTGTCATCTGCTGACAGGCTAGGATAAACTCGCTGATCCAAATCAGTCCCACTACATGGTACCACCACATGTATTTCAAAGGGCCTGACATCCGAAATTCAACAAATCCTTCTTCGTTTGGGACAGGACTACCTATAAATAAATAAAGGTAAAAAAGGAAATGGTGCTTATATCAACTCAGAAAGAAGGAAGCATATGGTGTTAGCAGTTCATAACCGTCTACGGCAGAACCCCTCTAGGTTCTACTAACACTAATACTACTAAATGTCATGTTTAGGAAGATTGTTCATAAGATACAGCTTTTGAGACAACCGGTATAATGGCATTTGAAAAAAGCACTAAAAAATATTCTGAATGTACTCAAAATCCTGCATCATTTCTTTTAATTTATAGCCACATGGTGAAAATTTCCAAAACTAACCACCACCAAGTAGCAAAAATTCTTAAAATTGAACATAATAGAAGCCTGCCTTAGTCATTCCTAATTTCAGTCTTCTGCTCTGTTGGTATTATTCATACAGTCAGAAACAATATTAAACTTCATAGCTCCTTACAGCTGGATGTCAACACTAACAATCACTTTTGTTTTCCTTATGGTAAGTCTTTGTGCATGTATTTCAACAATATTTGTAGCTTTAAAGGTATTTATGGACATAAGGAGCAGCTTTAGAGATTCTAAACATATGATTTCATACATTCAGAAATCCATTGACTCTTTGTCTCATCTGAGTAGCGATACCATGTGTTGAGACTGACAGTACCTGTCAGAACCCTTCTAGGATAAGCTCTGTTTCAATGTGTTAACCACATCGAGATGTTTCATCTTATACAATGGTTTTGTGAACAGCTGATGAGATTCAGAAAAATACTGAAAGTAACATCATGTGTATAAAAAGCTTACCTTGAAACCCACTGTTTAGACTTAGCATTGATAGCACCTTCTCCACCCTCTTAGCTATGCTTTTATGCTTATATAAAAACGCAGTATTTTCTTGTGAATAAATTGAACTATTGAAATAATTCTGGGTTTAGTGAACAAGCTCTTCCTAAATGTAGGCTTCTTCTCATACACAGATAATATACACTTTTTCAGTTCTCCTCGTTGGGATTGAAAAGATCTGGCCCTATTTGCACAAAAATTTTGTTTAACTGGGATCAGTAAAGTCACTGAGTGCATATAAAGCTAAAAGCATAAATTCATCTTTGCAGAATCAACTCCAATCGAAGAGTCCTGTCAGAAAAATATAGTATCAGCTTAAATTCTGCTACAAATTTAGTCCCTGTGCAGTGGTCTTTAACTCACAGAGTGAAGCACAGGACTGAGACTTAATTCACTTTCAGAGGCAAACATTTTCTGCACATAGCACAGCATGTAATGAAAACTAAAAATTTCCAGAGTAATGAGAACAAGAACACGTGAGTTCTATTACCTCCATCCCTTGCTAAGAATTCAGGCTATGAAATAAAAAATATTTATCCTGTATTATCCTGAAATAGCTCTGTGACCTGAAACACTGCTACTTTTGGATCAAGCAGTAAACAATAAATTTCAAAATTTTAAGGTTTTAGTAATGAATGATGGTCTCTATTGTCTACAACTTACTGCAAAATAACACAGACATCTCCCATTTTAAAAAGCAGTTGCTAGGCTCCTCTGCTGAGTAACTAACATTTGAACCTACAGGATCTACTAATTCTGGAAGCTCTTGTCAGACCCTGAACACAAACAAAGCTCTCATCTTCTACGCACTTCTCAGCAGGCAGAAACTGAGAGTACCTTGGCTGCTCTCAGAATATGGTGCAAAAAGAGCAGAAAAATCCCCTCAATAATCCTGGAAAATGCTCAAATAATACTAGACACCTAGTATTATGAACAACTGAACACTACTTTGAGTGTATTTACATTTTGGGAGACAGTAAATATGTGCAACAACCCTTTCAGTACTATGTCTTCATCTGTGTGAGCGCTGGCTACAATAGAATACAATACCTTATGAAATTAGCTGCAAGATTAGCTGTTTTTGACCTGTTTATGTAAAATTAGAAGGAATAATTTGAAAAATTGTTATAGCAGTCTCATGAATGGAGTCTTGTGGTTTGCAACATGCCAACTCGCTTCAAATCAAAAAGCCGGCCTAAGGCACAAAGTAACATACTGGGAATGCAGACTCAAATGCACAACAACTTTCTTGGAACAAGTGTTTTGAAGTCACTGAAGCAGACAACAACAGAAGCATAATATGTGGTTTTTTTTCTAGAGGTTCCCACATGCTTTTTAACCAACTCTGCCTGAAATCATACAAAAATGAAGTGGAATTTATTTAAAACAAGCCTGATATAGCTGCTTACCTGTAGTACCAAGGAAAAGCAGGACTGTGATCCAGTATGTCCAGAAGAGGATAAGCACAAAGAATGTCCAAAATGGCTGGAACTCTAGCAGCGGCAGGTGAATGAAGACCTTGCCGGCCACGTGGAACAAGGCAATGGTGAGAGCTACTCGTTTGCGCATAATTAACATTATCAAGAACAAGATAACCTAGAGGGAGAAGTTTCCAAATCACATTTTAGAGAATTGAAAAATAAGCAAGCTATCGTTTTGCACAGCTGGGATATTCAAACACAGCAAATTAACACATGTTCTATCTATAAGATCACAAGATCAAAATGAAAAACTTCTATCAGCTTCTTCTGGTGATAAATTCTTTTCCAAATTATACTTTTGGGGAATTCCAATCTCATAATTATGTATTTGGAATCATCATCAGTCTCAGTCTTATGAGATTAGACCAGATTCTATCCTCAATTGTGTTTTACAAACCAGTGAAATCAGCAACAGTTAACAAAGAATACAATTTAACATCTATGTTTGGGCATGGTGTGGTCAACTTGTCATATAAGTTAGTCAAACTGTCAGTTTTTAGTAGTAAAGTCATTAACCCCAAAATGAACAGCAAGGCCTGAAGAAGATAAATTGGTTCAGTAATCATTTTTAGTATTTTAGTTCACAATGATTCTTCTTAAGTGGAAAAAGTTTCAGAGCAACTGATTTCAGAAGTAGGAATGGTCTAAGGACTTTCAAATAAACTGAAATGATGAAGTACCTCTGAACTGGGAACCTAACAAAAATCTCGTAAGTGAAACTGGATTGGAAGTCCAATATTATATCAATTCATGGAAGTCCTTGTGGACATTTTACAGTAGAGGAGAGTAACTGCAGGGTCAGGAACCCTCTCCTGACTCAAAACCAGATATTACAGAACAATGCCTGGAAGCAAAA